ATTGAAATCATATATTAATCATTGTTAGACCATTATTAGTAACCTAGAAGCAATGTAAGACGGCCATTTCATCCTGGTATGGGACTCATCAGCCACGACTCCTGCACCCTGCAGGATTCGAACCCAGGACCTTCGGTATTGTGCACGAACGCCTAACCATCGGACCACTGAGCCTGTATCTAACCGTGGTAATGTCAAACTTGATCAGTTCACAGAGTTGCGCAACCTCATAAACAGTCTACACCCGAACAGGTTGAACTTCACTGGTAACGTCTTCCCACCAGAACTTGGAGAAGATTCCTCACGAAGCTAGTCACTGGTGAGCACAGATAATTTGCATTACGGGGTTGTGAAGATTGTTAAGTTACGCATACCATTTTTAAAACCATGGATTCGCACTTCTGATGAGTCCCATACCAAGACGAAACGGCCGTCCAGTATTTCCAGGTTTCTAATAGTGGCCTAACATTGCTCGATTCATCGTTTCAAGAATGTGTAACTTAACAATCTTCACAACCCCGTAATGCAAATCTCGAACTTGGCTGGCTGAAGAAGATGGAAATATTTCATCGAACAAAATGTTGCTTATAATTTTGAACTACTCATTAGTAGTAACAAACTAAATTTCACTAAAAAGTCAAAAATCAAGCAGTAACCTGTAAGTGATGACGTTTTGAAATATTTAATCTCACTGTGTTTGATGATAAAAAGAAAAACAGTATATTTTAAACAACGCTTTATTTTTTGATGATGAACATAAATCTAAGTGTTTCTGTTGTAAATAAGTTCAGTTTATAATACAATACAATAATGATTCAAAACAGTGGTTCCCTTTGATAAATTTGAATAGAGAAATGAGAAGACATATTTTGTGAGATAGTAAGTACCATTTCGTGCTTTCTCGTCACTCACATACAAGCAACATGTTATTCGTGTAAATACAGTTTTGAAGATAAGGTCAAAATTTCCTATTTAGCATGACATTCACTCACTAGAACCATGGTAAACAAAGGTCAAAATACAGTTGTTTTTGAACACCTAAAGTTGGACTTTTCCGACCAATCAAGATAGCTTCGAGTAGTTTCAGTGTGTGTGTGTGGGTTTTGATGACATGTCACAACTCAAAAGGCTGATTTTGGGTCAATTTGATGACCACTCATCATTAGATGATTTGCAGTGGGCGAGGCTGGGTTTCTTGATCGATTTTGAGATGATGGGCTAGGCTGATGAATCATGGATTTGATTAACCATTTCGGAATATGTTCCCCTATCCTGTCTTCCAATCGGCGATCTGTCCTCCCTAAGTAACTTTCTTCGCAGTTACATGTGAATTGGTAAATACAGTGGGATTTGGACTGAATCGGTCTTGGAGACTTGATTGGGGTAACTGAGAACGCAAACCCACCTGGTCGGGACAGTACCTCCACTTCACTTGTTTCTGCCCCATACAATATAAACGTTCTGTTGTCAAAACTTTATTCGCTCTGCAAGTAGAATCTGCACTGCTGATACATTGAACGACGATTTCAAGCTTATTACTGGGACACTTAAATCAAACGGATATCCCGAAACGTTTATTGGTCATCAGAACACAACTACGACGAAGCTGATAGCAACTGATGTACCCAAGAAACCAGTGTACCTACAGTTACCTTTCAAGGGTAATCACTGCATGAAAATTACAACTAAACAGACTGCAGCTGCAATAAAAAAGACCTTCAATGCAGCTAATCTGAGGCTTATCACAACAATTCAATCGATCTCAGGACTTTCAGTCTTGAGTGCGGACGATTAACCTCTAGACCAACGAGCAGGCATCCATCGTTGTTATGTCAAATGTTAATCGATCCACGCACTCTCACCTACTCTGTTCCGTGGATAACTGTCTCATATTCGATAGGGTTAAATTCTACTGATCACGTCAGCTCACTAGAACTCTGAGAATTTCCTCATTAAGTTATTCACTGGTGAGCAACTTGGATTGATTGAAGTTAGATATTAACAGTATTGGATGCCGGCTCAGTGGTCTAAAAGTTAGGCGGTGGGGCGTGTAAACGAAAGTTCGAAGTTCGATTGGCCAAAGCGGATTTCATGGATGAACACTTCTCATGAGTCCCATACTGAAAGGTAAAATCTGAACTTCTCTAACAGTAAAAAATTCTACGTACTAAATACATGATATTGGAATCTTCGAACCTGTGAGATTTCTTATCGTTACTTACTTACCTACTTATGCATGTTATCCATAGTGGAGCGAATGCCGCTGACAAACATTCTACAACCTTTTCTGTCCTCAGAATTCTTTTCTAGTTCTATTCAACTGTAAGATCCATTTTTGAAGGCTTTGTTTGTGAAAATCCCTCCATGTATGCATTCTTAATTTATTCTTATTGATTCCTTCAGTTGTATATTTTGTTAGTCTGTTCGATTCCATTTCACAGATGATAATATTTGTATTTTATTATAGTTTCTATTTTTTCTGCCTTCACTGAGTTTCTATGTTTCTTTCTGAATTGCATTTATGTTGTTTAAGCTGATACTTAGTCATGGCGACAGCCATATTGATTTGTTCCTCTTTTGATTGAGTCAGTTGCACTGACTGGAATTGTGCATTTTGATTGTGAACTGAAGCACCATTCTAGAATAGGAAACACTCTGTATTATAAAGCAACCAAATATTATCTGTAGAACAAATCTGATCTATTCAAGAGCGGTAGAATATCATTTATTTCTTGATGTGGATATGAATAACTGAACAATTGTTGGTGGAATAACTGAGTGTTAATATTTGTTTATGTAATGATGTACATTTATATTTATGATGAATATTAGATCTGTCATTTACCCAGTCACTCGTTTTGGTTTCAACTGGGCAATAGCGCGTATCAATCCAAACCTCAGTTTGGATCCTACACAACTGTTGTTTCTTCTTCTCATGTGTGTTTCCATTTCTCGGCGTTATCTGTTCCCTGAATTTCCTCTTTTCCTTTGACTTTGAGTATTGCAAGTGAAGGCTTATCTCATAACACAGTTGGATGCTTTCTTCAATGAATAATTGAACAATTGTTGATGGTTGTTTATGTAATGATGTACATTTATATTCATGATGAATATTAGAACCGTCATTAACCCAGTCACCTTGATTTGGTTTCAACTGGGCGATAGTGCGTATCTAAACTACCCACACAGTTATTCTTCAATACAAACCTCATTTTGGATCCTACTCAAGCGTTGTTTCTTCTTCTCATGTGTGTTTCCATTTCCTTTGACTTTGAGTATTGCAAGTGAAGGCTTGTCTCATAACACAATTGGATACTTTCCTCAATGTATATCCTATCCACCACTTCCAGTCTTCTCATCACTTAATTCTTTTCTTAAAATACCAACGTTAATACACTAAACTCATTATGAAACATGTAAAACAATGCAATAACTAAAACCGAAAGCAAAATTAAAACAAATCGAACATTTTTCTATAAAAGTATTTC